ACGTGTGTAAGTGTGCATCCTTTGCTCTCACGGTTCAGGGGATGGTAAAGGATGGGGGTATGGGTGGGGTCATAAATCTTTTTGACACAAAGTATATCCTATCTCTCTCTGGTGGGTTCAAAGAAAAGGGGCTCAGTCCTGAGTTGTTTAACACACCTGGATGTCAATACCATGAAATAAAAGCTGGAATTCTGAACTTATGTCTCATATTCATCTTTTGATCTGAAACCCAAATGTCTTCAGTATACAACAGCTATGGTGGAGAAACAGGTCAGTAAGTCATCAGTCCAAATTGAACAAAGAAATGTTGATTTTACTAAAGTGCCCACAAGGTGGCGATATTGTATTTATTGCTTTAATTAGCTTTGAAGCTTTTCTTTTTGAATGTTATTTTTAATGTTTCAGAGCTGTGCCCAGAAATCAGAGAGCAAACAGCAGAGTGAGCTGCTATGAAAATAAAGACCACCAGAATGTCTCTTAACCCTTGTGCGGTCCTTCGCATTTTTGTACACACCATTTGTCCTTGCAATGATTTTCATCTTGTCCCAGAATATGAGTATTAATCAATATGAGGAAAGGTTGGCACAAGTCATGCAGTACAGGAACATGCACACGCACGCACACGCACGCACACACACGCACACACACACACAGACACAAAGACATATTTATTAAGTTTACAAGGGTTAATGAAAAATATACACTATCATAATTATCTTTTACTTTAGTGCAATGATATTTACACATTAAAAAAAACTTAATATGTGTGAAGTATGAAAAGTAGGAAAAGTAAGGGTTATTCTTTTACAGTGTGACATTAATATTTGTTAAAGTAAAACCAATAAAACTGGTAAAATTTCTCTGAATATAAACATTTTTAAATGCTGACTAGTAATTTTCTGCTCAAATGATGATACATCAAAACAGGAGTGTATGTGGCTCCTCAGGCCACCAGCCTGCTGTACTGGGTATTTGGCCCGACCTTGATCTTACGTAACTTACTGCTGTCTGTTCGCCCACTGGTTCTCGTGCTTTGCGTCCCTGAGCTGCTGTCCCCCTGAGCCAGTCGTTTGCACCTCAGCAGCACCAAAATTTCCCTCTGACACTGAGAGGAGCCAAAGTAATAGAGGACAGGGTCCAGGCAGCAGCTGAGGCTGCCCAGACACATGGACAGAAGGTAGGCCTGGTAGCTACAGCTGGACATAGTGCACCACCAGAATAACATTGGTCGGAGTGAAACAAACCACAAACACCACCAGCACCACTGCAACCATGACCACAACCCTGGTCTTCTTGGAGTGATTCTCCACATTAGCTGCTGTCAATGCCTGGATGGTGCGGATGTAACAGACAATGGTGAAGATGAGCGGGATAAAGAAGAAGATGGACGAGTAGCTGGGAAAGAAATCAAGATAGTATGCCTGAAGTTTCTCCACATCCTGCACATCATGGCAGGTGGTGATGCCCAGGTCTGATAGGTGGATGGTTTGACCTGATGTGAGCAGAGAAGTGACTCCCCCAAGGGCCAGCAGCCACATGGCTGCACAAATGGCGGAAGCTGTTTGAGAAAGAAATTCACATCATATGAATTTATAAAAATGGATAACCATCTGATGAGGAAAAACAAGTATTTGAGCCCCTACCAAACAGCAAGTATTCTGGCTCCTACAAGCCAGTTTGTCTTTCTTTAAGACACATCTCCAATCCCAATTAATTATCTACATCAAATACACCTGCCTCACCTCGTTACCTGTATAAAAGACACCTGTCCACACCCAAACAACCAGCATCCAACATTTCCACCATGGGCAAGACCAAAGAGCTTTCTATGGACATCAGGGACAAAATTGTTGACCTGCACAAGGCTGGGATGGGCTACAAGAGAATCAGAAAGCAACTTGGAGAGGAAAAAAGCAACTGTTGGTGAAGTAATCAGGAAATGGAAGAAGCACCACACCACCGCCAACCTCCCTCGATTTGGGCCTCCACACAAGATCTCGCCTCGTGGGGTGTCCCTGATCATGCGAGCGGTGAGGAATCATCCCAAAACCACAAGGGGGAACTGATGAATCAACTGAAGGCAGCTGGGACCACAGTTACAAAAGAAACAGTTGGTAACACACTACGCCGTCATGGATTGAAATTCTGCAGCGCATACAAGGTCCCCCTGCTCAAGTAGAAACATGTACAGGCCTGCATGAAGTTTGCCATTGACCACCTGGACGACTCAGAAGAGGCCTGGAAGAAGGTGATGTGGTCAGATGAGACCAAAATAGAACTTTTTGGCCTCAACTCAACTCAGTGTTTGGAGGGCAAAGAACACCGAGTACAACGCAAAGAACACCACCCCCACCGTCAAGCATGATGGTGGTAATATAATGCTTTGGGGTGCTTTTCAGCCAAGGGGGCGGGACACCTCCATTGCATTGAGGGGAGGATGGACGGGGCCGTGTACCATGGAATTCTGGACCAACACCTCCTTCCCTCAGTGAGAGAGCTGAAGATGGGTCGAGGATGGGTGTTTCAGCACGACAACAACCCTAAGCACATTGCCAAAGCAACAGAAGAGTGGCTGAAGAAGAAGCACATGTTCTGGAGTGGCCTAACCAGTCTCCAGACCTGAATCCAATTGAAAATCTTTGGAGGGAGCTAAAAATTCGAGTTGCCAGGCGACAGCTTCAAAACCTGAATGATTTGGAGGCTGTCTGCAGTGAGGGGTGACATCCCTAACATCCCTGCCGAAATGTGCATAAACCTTGTCACCAACTATAAAAGTCATTTGACATCTGTGCTGGCCAATAAAGGCTTTTCTACAAAATATTAACATGCTGTTTGTCCAGGGGGTCAAATATTTGTTTTTCCTCATCAAATGGTTATCAATTTAAATAAATTCATGTGTTTCTGGAATTTTCTTTGGGAATCTGTCTCTCACTGTTAGAGTATACATATGATTAAAATTATAAATCGTTGCATTCTTTGTAAGTGGGCAAACCTGCAAAATCAGCAAGGGGCCAAATGTCAGGTCTGTCTGTTTCCTTTTCCTGCTGTCTGCTGTGTGGGGTAATTTGTGTGATCACACTCACCTGTGTCTGTAATTAGCCTCACTTGTGTCACCTGGTGATCCCTGTATATATACCTCTCTCCCTCACTCTGGCCTTGTTGGATCATTGTAAGTTAGTGACTGTCTTTGTGAGCACTGTATCCTTCGTGCCAGCTTTGTGTCGAGCTTTTTGTTGTAGCTGTTCCTAGTTTGTTCCTGAGCAAGTCTGTTGCTGTGCTCAATTCTGTTCTCAGCTCTGCTCGACTTTGCATATGTTTCTGTCCTGGTTCTTGGAATTTAGAATCTTCAAATAAACTACCTGCACCAGTACTGCATTTGGGTCCTGCCTGCTTCCTGTCATATTGTTGCCCGCACATGACACAAATACTTATTTCCCCAACTGTACAACTGCTTGTGAGTATTGACATCTAGAGAGGGAGACACGATTTGTTCGCGGTGACTTCAACAAAACCAGAGATCTCTGTAAATGCACTGTTGAACAATTAAAGTTGTTTGCTCATTTCAATTTTGTAGTGATTTATCATTAATATTGTCTGCATTGACTGTGTCCCTGAAACATGCACACGGGACAAGTTGTGTCCCGCCGCCCAAAGGTTAGGGGATGGCAAACGCCAACAGTACCCTACCGTTAAAGAAAGAAAAACACACAGTAGTCACTGAAATAACTTGAAACTGACAAAAGTAGTAATAAATAACAATTTACTGAAAATTGGCCTGGAGAAAAATGATAGTACCCTTAACTTAATATTTTGTTGCACAACCCTTTGAGGCAATCACTTCAATCAGGCGATTTCTGTAACTTCTGCATCTGTCAACAGATATGTTGGCCCACTCCTCATGAGCAAACTGAAAGGTGTCATCTCCAGACTGCATGTTTCAGCTCCTTTCACAAATGTTCATTAGACTTTAGATCAGGGCTCATAGAAGGTCACTTCAGAACGGTCCAATGTTTTGTTCTTAGCCATTCTTGGGTGTTTTTAGTTGTGTGTTTTGGGTCATTATCCTGTTGGAGGACCCATGACCTGCGACTGAGACCAAGCTTTCTGACACTGGGCAGTACATTTCGCTCCAGGATGCCCTGATAGTCTTGAGATTTCATTGTACTCTGCCCAGATTCAAAACACCCTGTGCCAGATGCAGCATGGCAGCAACAGAACATAACTGGGCCTCCTCCATGTTTCACAGTTGGTACAGTGTTTTTTTCTTTGTATGCTTCATTTTTGCATCTGTGAACATAGAGCTGATGTGACTTGCCAAAAAGCTCTAGTGTTGTCTCATCTGTTCAAAGTACATTCTCCCAGAAGCTTTGTGGGTTGTCATTATGCATTTTGGCAAATTCCAGTCTCGCTTTTTGATTTGCTTTCAACAGTGGTGTCCTCCTTGGTCTTCTTCCATTAAGTCCACTTTGGCTCAAACAGCGACAGATGGTGTGTTCTGATACTGTATGTACCTTGACTTTGGAGTTCACCTCTAATCTCTTTGGAAGTTGTTCAGGTCTCTTTGGTTACCATTCATGTTATCTGTCTCTCTTCATTTGTCATCAATTTTCGTCTTGCGGCCACATCCAGGGAGGTTGGCTACAGTCCAATGGACCTTAAACCTCAGAATAATATGTGCAAGTGTCGTCACAGAAACATCAAGCTGCTTGAAGATGGTCCTGCTGCTGGGTTGTTGCACTCCCACGGCCTCCTTCACGTCTCCTGGTAGCGCCTCAATGCTCTGGACACTACGCTGACAGACACAGCAAACCTACTTGCCACAGCTCGCATTGATGTGCCATCCTGGACGAGCTGAACTACCTGAGCCACTTGTGTGGGTTGTAGACTCCGTCTCATGCTACCACAAGAGTGAAAGCCCCGCCAGCATTCAAAAGTGACCAAAACATCAGCCAGAAAGCATCAGAACTGAGAAGTGGTCTGTGGTCACCACCTGCAGAACCACTTGCCAATTGCCTATAATTTCCACCTGTTGTCTATTCCATTTGCACAACAGCATGTGAAATTGATTGTCAATCAGTGTTGCTTCCTAAGTGGACAGTTTGCGGCTCCAAGGTCTGCATGGACGGTTGGACCGGGCATGAGTGCAAAGATGGTGAGGGAGTGAATAATATTTCAAAATGTAAAAGACAAAAATGCCTTGATTGATTTCGATCTGGAATTTATTTTAATAGAATTTTTCTCTAAATTCCAATCTATTTGTAAGAACACCGTGTCCTGCTCAGATCATATTTATAACCAACAAAATAAATCACCAGTTTTTTTTTCTAAAGGCCAGAAAGCTTTTCTCGTTTTCTCATCAATGGTCTTGGCCTGAATTAAGCCAGCCACTAGGGTACACGAAGCCGTGTTTATAGTGCCGGTCCCAAGCCCGGATAAATGGTGAGGGTTGCGTCAGGAAGGGCATCCGGCGTAAAACGTTTAGCTAAATCAAATATGCAGATCAATAAAACGATTTCTATACCGGATCGGTCGAGGCCCGGGTTAACAACGACCGCCAACAGTGCCGTTGACCAACAGGGCACTGATGGAAATTGGACTACTGTTGGTCAGAGACAGAGTCAGAGACAGAGAAGAAGAGGAGGGCGTTTGGTTAGGAGAAAAAGAGAAAAGATGAAGAATAGAAGTGTTAGTCTGAAGTTTGGAACTTTGAATGTAGGTACAATGACAGGGAAAAGTAGAGAAATAGCTGATGTGATGGAGAGAAGAAGAGTAGATATTTTGTGTGTGCAGGAGACCAGGTGGAAGGGCAGTAAGGCTAGAAACATTGGAGGAGGCTACAAACTGTTTTATCATGGTTCAGATGGGAAGAGAAATGGAGTAGGGGTGATCCTAAAGGAAGAATATGTAAGAAATGTGGTAGAGGTGAAAAGAGAGTCAGACAGGTTGATGTGTGTGAAGGTAGAAGTAGAAGGAGAGATGATTAATGTTGTTAGTGGTTATGCCCCACAGGTGGGCTGTGAGTTGGAAGAAAAGGAGAAGTTCTGGAAGGAGCTAGATTGGATGGTAGAGAGTATCCCCAGGAGAGAGAGAGTGGTGATTGGAGCAGACCTAAATGGTCATGTAGGGGAAGGGAACAGAGGAGATGAGGAAGTGATAGGCAGGTTTGGTGTTAGGGAGAGAAACGTAGAAGGACAGGCAGTGGTAGATTTTGCAAAGAGAATGGAAATGGCTGTGGTAAACACATATTTCCAAAAGAAAGAGGAACATAGGGTGACTTACAAGAGTGGAGGCAGGTCCACACAGATAGATTATATTCTATGTAGAAGATGTAATCTGAGGGAGATTAGAGACTGTAAGGTGGTGGCAGGTGAGAGTGTAGCCAAACAACATCGGATGGTAGTGTGTAAAATGACGATGGAGGTGACAAAAAGGAAGAGAGTGAAGACAGAGCAGAAGATCAAGTGGTGGAAACTAAGGAAAGAGACATGTTGTGAAGACTTCAGGAAGGAAGTAAGGGCAGTTCTGGGTAGTGTTGAGATATTCCCAGATGATTGGGAGACTACAGCTGCAGTGATGAGGGAGACAGGTAGGAAGGTGCTAGGTATGTCCTCTGGGCAGAGAAAGGAGGACAAAGAGACCTGGTGGTGGAATGAGGAGATCCAGGAGAGTGTGCAGAGAAAGAGATTAGCGAAGAAGAGATGGGACAGTGACAGAACAGAAGAGAACAGACTGGAGTACAAAGAGAGGACAAGGGAGGTGAAGAGGGAAGTGGCCAAGGCCAAACAAAAGGCATATGAGGAGTTGTATGAGAGTTTGGAAACAAAGGAAGGAGAAAAGGAGTTGTATAGATTGGCGAGACAGAGAAATCAAGCTGGGAAGGATGTGCAGCAGGTGAGGTTGATTAAGGACAGAGAGGGGAATGTGATCACAAGTGAGGAAAGTGTGCTGAGAAGATGGAAGGAATACTTTGAGGAGTTGTTAAATGAGGAAAATGAAAGGGAAAGTAGAAACGAGGAGCCAGAGACTAGTAGGAAGAAGGTAGATCAGGTTAGAAAGGATGAAGTTAGAAAAGCCCTGAAGAGGATGAAGAGTGGAAAGTCAGTTGGTCCTGATGACATACCAGTGGAAGTATGGAAGTGTTTAGGAGAAGTGGCAGTAAATTTCCTGACTGGTTTGTTTAACAGAATTTTAGAGACTGGCAAGATGCCTGATGAGTGGAGAAAAAGTGTTCTGGTGCCAATTCATAAGAAGGGTGATGCACAGAGTTGTAACAACTACAGAGGGATAAAGTTGATGAGCCATACAATGAAGATTTAGGAAAGAGTAGTTGAAGCTAGGTTGAGGCAGGAAGTGGAGATTTGTGAACAACAGTATGGTTTCATGCCTAGGAAGAGTACCACAGATGCAATATTTGCCTTGAGGATGTTGATGGAGAAGTACAGGGAAGGTCAGAAGGAGCTGCATTGTGTATTTGTAGATCTAGAAAAGGCATATGACAAAGTGCCAAGGGAGGAATTGTGGTTTTGTATGAGGAAGTCAGGAGTGGCAGAGAAGTATGTTAGTTTGGTGCAGGACATGTATGAGAATAGTACAACAGTAGTGAGGTGCGCTGTTGGGAGGACAGAAGACTTCAAAGTGGAGGTGGGACTACATCAAGGATCGGCCCTGAGCCCCTTCTTGTTTGCTGTGGTGATGGACAGATTGACAGATGAGGTCAGACAGGAGTCCCCATGGACTATGATGTTTGCAGATGACATTGTGATCTGTAGTGAGAGTAGGCAGCAGCTAGAAGAGAACCTAGAGAGGTGGAGGTTTGCACTAGAAAGAAGAGGAATGAAGGTCAGTCGCAGCAAGACAGAGTACATGTGTGTAAACGAAAGGCAGAACAGTGAAATAGTGAGGCTACAAGGAGCAGAGGTGGTGAAGGTGCAGGAGTTTAGGTACTTAGGATCAACTGTTCAGAGCAGCGGAGACTGTGGAAGAGAGGTGAAGAATAGAGTACAGGCAGGATGGAACAGCTGGAGCAAAGTGTCAGGAGTGATCTGTGACAGAAGAGTGTCAGCTAAGGTGAAGGGAAAGGTTTACAGGACAGTGGTGAGACCAGCCATGATGTATGGTTTAGAGACAGTAGCAATAGGCAGAAGACGGGAGGTGGAGCTGGAGGTGGCAGAGGTAAAGATGCTAAGATTCTCTTTAGGAGTGACAAGAATGGACAGGATCAGGAATGAGGTCATTAGAGGGACAACACAGACAGGAAGGTTTGGAGAAAAAGCTAGAGAAGCCAGATTGAGATGGTTTGGGCATGTGCAGAGAAGGGACAGTGGATACATTGGTTGAAGAATGTTAGAGATGGAGCTACCAGGTAGGAGAAAGAGAGGAAGGCCAAAGAGGAGATATATGGATGTAGTGAGGGAGGACATGCAGATAGTTGGAGTCAGAGTAGAAGATGCAGAGAACAGGGAGAGATGGAAATCAATGATTTGCTGTGGCAACCCCTGAAAAAAAAGGGATAAAGCCAAAAGAAAAAGAAGAAGAGTATATATACAGTAAACTGTTATCTAAGTGTGTTAAATAATGGTCTGCTTGACAGGAGTAGGTACTCCTAAAAGGTTTTTTTACACTGTAGGTAAATAAAGGATTAGGTCTGTTTCTCATCAAGTATGGGAATCTGATTAACTTTGCCCTGGGAGTAAAAATTAAAGAAAAAACAACTGCATAGTACTTGTGAAACTTTCTCAATAAAAGGAGCTGCAGTCCTCATACACTTTGGGACTTAGGTGAGCCAACTCTGCGAAGCTGTTGGTCTCTCTGCTCCCCCTCGCAGCGAGTAAAAAGTACAACGTTGTCAGGTATGGTTCTTTTCAAGTCATTCTATCTGCGGCACTTAGATTACAATAGTGGTGACTGAATAATGGCCTATGGATCAATGGTATATCTGGAGAAGGAAGAACAAGGCCTATGAAGAAAAGCACACCTTGCCTACTGTGAAGCATGGTGAGGGGTCAGTCATGCTTTGGGGCTGTTTTTCTTCTTTAGGTCCAGGGAATCTCCAGTGTGTGCAAGGTACCATGAATTATATTAACTACCAGGAGATCTTGGATGTAAATGTCATGCAGTGGGTCAAAAACCTGAGGCTTCCATCTTCACGTTGGACCTTCCAACAGGACAATGATCCCAAGCATACCTCCAAATCTACCAGAGCTTGGCTGCAGACGAAGGGCTGGAACATTCTGGAGTTGCCATCGGAATCACCCGACTTTAATCCAATTGAAACTCTCTGGTGGGACTTGAAGAAGGCAGTTGCAGCACGCAAGCCCAAGAATGTGAATGAACTAGAGGCTTTTAGTCATGAGGAATGGGCTAAGATACCTGTAGATCGCTGCAACAAAACGTGTCAAGCTATGTTTCACATTATAACTGCCAAAGGATGTTGTACGAAGTACTAAGGATGGATGTGACTAAGGGGTTGAATAATTTTGTAAATGTTGCAAACACAGAAAGGACATTTGTTGGTATATCACCAGAAATACACATGAATACATTACTATTCCATTCTTAAAATTACTTTACATTTACAATAACCACATAGAAAACAAAAAACAGGACAATGACAACAATCCATTCATTTTTCCATTAACCCGACATTTTCTGAAACAAACAGTCCTCGACCATCTGGTGTTTTTTGAACTCTAAATACAGCAAGGCACTGATATTTTGTCTTTTAAAAAACTCTAGCTTTTTATTTTTTGGCCTTTACTTTTGTCATTTTCCATAAAAAATATTGTTAAGAAGAAAGATTAACAAGTTGACATTGACTTTAGCTTTGTCAAACCTTTTTATCACAGCCACACTGTCGTACTGGAGCTGAAGAAGGTACTGAAAACAGAGCACAAATAACATCATTAATTACATTATGTCAGGTTGAAAGTGTATACTCTTCACAAAACCTGTGTTTAAGCTGGAAATTATTTGTCTTTTTAATCAATGTTTCCTGTTTAAAAGTCAAGGGCAGGAAATCCAGAAGATGATTACATGGACATTTTGTGGAACATTTACCTCGAAATGCAGCTGTACTTTTTCCATCTCAACCCATAAATCTCCCATAAATTTTGCTTTCACTTCGAAATCACCAACTTCTTCTGTGAATGAAATGTCAAACATGACATTTTTGAACCTAAGATATGGGACACAATAATGTGAGATTGAAGCAGTATCACAGAGAAAATCATTACAGCTACTCATCTTTAATGTTAAGGCCAGGACATAAATCCTAACTCTGTAGTTTGGTGCTGATGAGATGATGTGCAAACATCAAATCAAAAAAAAAAAAAAAAAAAATCGGATATTCAGTTTCCACTGTTTCTCCATGCTTTAATTTTTTATAATAACTGTAGAAAATGGAGATTTTTTGTTGTGCATTTTCAAAACCTTGTTTTTAAAATGTCAGAATTATTTCAGAATATGTGATACTTTGAGAACTTTTTGGGATGATTTCTTCTATATATCGTTGATGATGTCCTGGTAGTTGTTACTGGCAGCAGCTAGGCCGGTCTGCTCCAGGTTCGACAGTGTTAGATTTCAGTGGTTTTTCACATTTGGTTGGGTCTGCAGCAGGAAGGTGCTAAGACACCAAAAGGCTTTCCCGAGCACACACAGTCACATAGCCCCACACATTCAAAGAGAATTTCCCCAAATTCTCTTCACACCAACTTTCTAAAACACCTCTACCCCCTGGGAACAATGGGAGATCTTCACACAACAATGGGAGATCTCCCAATCTACCTTCTCACAGGGAACCCCGAAGCCATCCATTCCTTTTGATTTACATGACCACCTGTGGTTGACTGGACTTTATGGCTCCGTCTACCTCCCTTGTGATAACCCCCCACTGAGCACCAAAAGGTTCTTCCAACACTGCTGAATCATGGAACAAGAGTGCCACATAGTGGCGACTGCAGGCATCACATGATAACAAGAACAATAATATGATTGGCCACAAGAGGCCTAGCCTCTCTCTTCCATTGGCCTACAAGATTTAAACACACACCCGGGAAGTCGAAAACCACTCCCCCCATACAGGTATATAAGCATAAACAACTAACGATACTTTAGAAGTTATTGTTGAGAAGTCTTGAGAAGTCAGAAGTTATTCTTGACAGGATTTGCGTATTAACTACTGTTGTACGAGATTTCCTTGAATACTTCTCCAGTCGTTTATTTTGCTTTATTGTTGGACCTGTTTTGTTTGACGTTTGTTATTAAAACAAATCGACCATCTACTGGCTGCTTCCACTCCTTGCCTGAAGACACCTCGCACAGCAAGAATCTTTCAGCAGGTTCCTGAGAATTTTTCTCTTTCTGCTCCAGAGGCAGCTGGCTGTCCTCCAGGACTACAGGACTGCTCTTCAGACCCTCTGGGGTCTGAGTGTCATGCACTGCACGGCGCTCCACAACCAATTTGTGCTCCAACTCCTTCAGTGGACAAGTTGTATTAGAAGACATACAAATCACATGGAAAAGGATGATTGATGATGATTTTTATATAACATTGTTCAGTGTTTTTTTTTTTTTGGCTGATTACTTGTGGTGCTGTAACTGGAGTCTCGAGGATTTCAGGCAAATTCTCTCCAGGCTGAATCTGAATCACGTCCACAATTAGCTTTTTGGTCCTTAAACAAACACAAGAGTAAACCAATCAGTGATTTATTTAGACCATAACAAAAAATACCAACCAAACACAATACCATGAAAATTATACCATAGTGCGTAATATAAAAATTTAATCCAAACTGTCTTTATTGCGTGATACTTTTTAATTATCACGCAAGAAAATTATAGAAGTGAGGAATGTTTTGTTATAAATTTTAAAAAGGAAAACATGCTAAAAGAGAAAAAGTACATACACATAAAAAAATGATTGGACAATCATACTTTTAGAATTAGCTTTTTAACAAAGGCTAGTATTTCTTATGAAATAAACATATCCCAAAGTTTGTTCTGTCGTGGCTTCCAGAAAAACATATCTCTGTAACAGTTTCTTGCAGATACATGTGGATACATGTTTGTGAGGCTAAAAGCCTGAAGCCACCAAACCACTTTCTTTTTTTCGACGGGACACAAGAAAAAGAGCAGGAAAGATAAGACAAAGACAGACAACAGAATGACAGCCATAAAAAACACACACACTTCATAGAGACATGAAGCATTGCACGACCCCTTACATCACCCAAATTATTACAGATATACTGTAGGCTGTTAGGTTTATTCTAACATATGTGACGACAAAGTAACAACACAAAAGACGTCTGGATCTTTTACTTGCAAGGGGAGAGTGCAGTTTGCTCTGCTGGCAGTTTCCTCATCAACTCCGAGTTGCTGCACCCTTCCTCCGCTCTTTTATTTAGTTTACAAAAGTATCAAATTACATATCATGTGATCGTGTGTGAGTATATGAATGGGTATGGAGTAAGAAGGTGGGTGTGAATGTGGGTGTGGCTGTGTCTGGGAATTTCTCCATCAGTCTTGAGCACACTAGATTACAATATGAGAAGCAAACAGTTTTTTAAAGCGACAGTACAGCATGAAGCAATGATAATAAATTAAATTCTTCCAACATAAGCATAATCTTAGTCCTAACCCAAACTTTAATCTAACCTTAGGTCTAAACTTTATCATGTCCCTTGTGTTTCCACAATAATAAAAATATGTATAGCTGTATCAACAACACATGCACATGCTGAGTGTAGAGAGGTTATACAGAGTTCAGACAGTTCTGACAGTTCCCAATCCCAGCCTTTGTCGTCATCAAGTGTAGTGTTCTCAAACATAAACTCACTTTGTCATGAGAGCCTTCTCGTCTTTGTCATCTCCATCCAGCAGCTCAAACTTACTGGTGAGAGTGAGAGAGATTTCTGTCTTTGCCTGCTCCTTCAGAGTGCCCTTGTTCTGAAGTTTTTTCCTACGTATAGTTTTTTCCTGCGCATGTGTACATCGGCTGGTAGCAGAAATTTATAGCATAGTCTGAAGTTTTTTCCTACCGGTAGTGTAAATTTATAGCCATAGCTGACATTTGTGTTCAGGGTGGTAGCACATTATTACTACGCATCAAATATCAATAAATACTTGCTTATTACTTAGTTCAGAGTGGTAGCACATTACTATAGACATGAAATCGCTATAAAAACGTGCTTCTGACTATATTTTGAGTGGTAGCACATTACTATAGACATGAAATAGCCATAAATACATACTTCTCACTGTATTTAGAGTGGTAGCACACTATTTAAGGCTACACAGAAAATCTTTGTTAATATATAGGTTCTCTCAGGGTTTAGAGTAGCACTT